AGCCTTTCCTGGCCTCTACCAATTTGGGCTAAATTGTCCTCTGCTTCAAAAGCCCATTGTGCAGAGCCTGTGCTGTGCTTACAGCTGTATTAAGCAGCCTGTTTCTACTGGACCACACAAACAAGGCCCATACCTTAGTGTTGTGTTAATAATGTTTAATATAGTGTCTGATCTATGGTAAACACTGAGTCAGTGCAAACTGAGCTGAACTAACCTCACAGTCTTGTTTTCCCTTAAAAAAAAAATACTCCCTTTTGCCACCAAAGACCGTCATTAAAGTGTGACCTCCAAAATGAATGCTTTCCCAGGTGGTGTCTGCCTCCCTCAGAGTTGACTTAAGAAATCTCACCATCCTGGGACGCCTGGGTGGCTCAGTCGGTTAAGTGTCTGCCTTCAGCTCAGGTCATGATCCCAGGGTACTGGGATCGAGTCCCGCATCGGGCTCCCTGCTCCGCGGGGAGCCTGCTTCTCCCTCTGCCTCTGTCTCTCTGTCTCTCATGAATAAATAAATAAAATCTTTAAAAAAAAAAAACTCACCATCCTGGTTCTTGGCACAATATTCCTTTGTAATGCTGTCTCAACTTATTTTAACTATTCTGACATTTGTTCAATTAGACTGCTGACTAGTTGAACTTAAACCCTTTGCCTTTTTCACACATGTAGTATACTATACTGTACTTCCCCTAGTGTTGAGTTAATGCAGATGATTTTGATCCTTACTATAGGTCAATCCCTGTTCTAAAAGACAAATCCTATTTCCGTAGAGGAAAGAACTAACAATCTCCTTTGAATGTTTTCAGCAGAAGCTGATCATTTTCAGAATTTCCCAGCATGATCTACACTCTCACCCCATTGGTTAGGCGATAGGATAAATGTACTGAAGTGCTTAGGCCCACTCCTCTAGTCCTCCCAATTATCAGCAACATGTAAATCATTGGTGTTTGACTATAGTTATTGAAATCTTTATAAACCTAATTTATTGACATTCTGCCCCATTTATCTTGTTCACAAAGCTGCTGTGGGGGAGATAACTGTGCTATAGCTATCCCATCAAAAATTTTGTATAATTGAAAAATTCCTTGTCCTTTGTAACACTTCCATTTCATAGTATTGTGGAAACATCCTTTTAATAATCCATTCCAGAATCTTGTCTAGGAAGAATACTAAGTCCACCAGTATAGTTTATATCAAGCCTTCATTTAAGCTTATGGTATCAATATGGTACCCAGCTCAGACTAGTTACATGGTTTGAAGCAGTAGCAGTGCTCTAGTCTTATAGATTAGAAACCTGCGGACATTTGAACTACGACAAGCAAGTATTCAAACTCTTTCAGCAGTATCTTCTGAACCACAACATTAAGTGGCAATGTACAGAACTACCAGACTACCATCATCTTAGCTTCAAAACAATTCGAACATTTTGCTGTATTAGGTAAACAAGGAGGGAGAAAACCATTGGGGGGGAGGCAGGTAAGAAGGGAGAAGAAGAATGACCAGAATATAGCTGATCAAGTAAAAAAAAATTTAATGAAAAATAAACTAATGTTCAGTTCCAAACTGTCATAACTAGACTTTGGGGGGCAGTAGGTGACAGACTAGCCTAACAGAGTCATCAGAAATGCATCAGCTGTCAAAAAATAATTTTTGTGCAGGCCATGGACATAAGAAGCTAAACTGTAATAGTAGACTGTAAAATAATAGCTCCTACTCATCAAAATACAGATTTTACCCCTTCATAGTATGGAATGAGGTTAAATTTTAAAATTTCTTAGGAAGAGATGTTCTACAAACAATGATACTCCAGTAGTAACAAGCATACCTAGAAACCAGATTTGCTTTTTTTTTTTAAGATTTATTTATTTATTTGAGTGAGAGAGAGCACAAGCAGAGTAAAGGGCAGAGGGCAGAAGGAGAAGCAGACTCCTTGCTGAGCAGGTAGCCCAATGCGGGGCTCTAACCTGGGACTCCTGGATTATGACCTGAGCGGAAGGCAGATGCTTAACTGACTGAGCCACCCAGGTGCCCCCAGATTTGGTTTCTAATACCATTCTCCAATAAAAGGAACAAGGACTTCTTGGAGAGACAGGGAATATATAAGATAGCTTGAAGCATCTTGTACTGTCAGAAAGTAAGGAAGTTTTTTTTTAAGTAGGCTCCACACTCCATAGAGCCCAATGCAGTGGTTGAACTCATGACCCTGAGATCAAGAGTCAGATGCTTAACCATCTCAGCCACCCTGGTGCCCCTTAAGGGAGTTCTTTTAAAAAACAATTTTAAGGGGCTCCTGGGTGGCTTAGTCATTAGGCGTCTGCCTTTGGCTCAGGTCATGATCCCAGGGTCCTGGGATCAAGCCCCACATCAGGCTCCCTGCTCAGCGGGAACCCTGCTTCTCCCTCTCCCACTCCCCCTGCTTGTGTTCCTGCTCTTGCTATCTCTGTGAAATAAATAAAATCTTAAAAAAAATTTTTTTTTAAATGTCATAATAATGGGGGAGAGGAGGGGTATGTCAAAGGGACACAGAAGCCAATTCAACTGGAAGAGCTCCCAATAGTCAAAGCTGGAACAATGTGATCAACAAAATAAAATACTCAAACTATAAAATAAATATCCATGAGTCCATATTGATATGTTTAAAAAAAAAATAATGGAGAAGAGACTAATCTGCTCAGAATTCCAACCAATTTATGTAAATTCTCTGCCCAAAAAGAGGTAGAATGCAATTCTTCACCCCTTAAGTGTGGGCTGCTCATAGTCTATAGCCTTCCCCTAAGACTGAGCTACTGAGAGGACTTAAGTTCTCAGGGCCACATTGCTCTTCAGACTTCTTCCATGTTTGCTGTCCCTGTTCCTACAGTCACCCAAACATGAAATTTGGCCCCTACACCTGTTGATAAAAATAAAATGAAACCCCAAGTCCCCATTTCCATGAAGTATTGAAAAGTTGAGTAGGTTGAAGCTGGACCAAGGGTTTTCCATCACACCAATACAAAGCCCTTCAATGCAGTGGTAGGTTTTGCCATCCAGACATCCAGCAGCCTTAGTAAGCATTTCCCTGCTCTTTCACCTCCCCCCATTCCCCAGTCTCAGATGCTTTTCATCTTGGGGATTGCTACATCTTTCCTGATCATTCCTTCTTTCCTGCTCTTCTCTCCCCCTGCTTCATTGGAGTTAAACCTCTCGTCTCAGAGCAATTCACTAAGCTCCTTGAATAATCCAGAAAAGTTCCCCAGAACAGTAGTTTATGGAGATACTCCACTTTAGGCTTAGAATCGAAGAGCTTAAGTAAAGAAGTTCTCTGGATGATGACAGAGGTGACAAGATTTGGGGGGCAGTATGTCTTTTCAGATACATAATCCTTCTGAGAAGGGCAAGCAGGCCTGTGAACATATTAGATTCATATAATTTCGAGGCTGAAAGGATCTCCAAAGGTTACTTAGTCCTGCAGTTGAAGAAAGTAAGACCTAGGGCTATTATGTGACCCACCTTGGGTCATACACTGTATCTTCTACAATCTCTGTGCTTGTGCTTACAGAGTTTCAACCAAGTGCTCTTGGAATGGACTCTTTTAACAGAGATTTTCACATTTGAACTTCAGGATACAATGGCCAGTACCTAATTTTTTTTTTAAGATTTTATTTATTTGACAGAGAGAGACACAGCGAGAGAGGGAACACAAGCAGGGGGAGTGGGAGAGGGAGAAGCAGGCTTCCCGCTGAGCAGGGAGCCCAACGCGGGACTCGATCCCAGGACCCTGGGACCATGACCTGAGCCAAAGGCAGACACTTAACGACTGAGCCACCCAGGCGCCCTGGCCAGTACCTAATTTAACATCATGAAAAGAAGTATTTTAGGGGCGCCTGGGTGGCTCAGTTGGTTGAGCGACTGCCTTCGGCTCAGGTCATGATCCTGGAGCCCCTGGATCGAGTCCCGCATCGGGCTCCCTGCTGGGCAGGGAGTCTGCTTCTCCCTCTGACCCTCCCCCCTCTCATGTGCTCTCTCTCTCATTCTCTCTCTCTCAAATAAATAAATAAAATCTTTAAAAAAAAAAAAAAAAGAAAGAAAGAAAAGTATTTTAATTCGAAGAAAATTTTTATAGTTAGTCTCTAGTAGAAGAATGAAAAGAGATGTTTGAGGGGCTCCTGGCTGGCTCAGTCGGTGGAGCTTGTGACTTGGATCTTCCGGTTGTGAGTTCCAGCCCCATGTTGGGTGTAGAGATTACTTAAAAAATAAAATCTTAAAGAAAAGAAAAAGAAAGATGTTTTAAAATACTAATTATATTTTCTAGAGGCAGATTTGGCAAAGGCACTCTTTACAAAGGGTAGACGGTACTTGCAAACACCATAAGCCTAATGATCTCATCCCAAACTTCTAATTCAACTTAGCAAGAAATAAAACCTCTTCTGACAGTCGCCATTATTCCAATTATGGCAATAATGACTTCCCCGTCTACCGATTCGGTTGACAGGTTAAAAATCTCCAAACTCTGTTAACCCTGTCTTGGCTCAAGAATATATTGATCTGGCTGATTCAGCAAATACTTAACTACCGACTTACTCGAGGAAAGAGTGCTAAGCAAAACTGAATTCATTTCAAAGCCTCTAGAAATCTCGATCCTGGTTCCCACAGCGAGGTTTCAGAGCAACTCATTGCTGTCCTTCTGAGAATTAAACTCCTTGAGATGTGCGTCTTATTCTCTATCCGTGCACAGAAGAGCTCAATTAAAAAAAGAGAGACACTGAAATGAGTGGACTTGGGAGGGGGAGAGCCTGATCCCACGAGCCGGGACGAGTCACCTGGGCAGCACCAGGCGGGGGCGACGCGAGGCGACGCTCGCCAACACGCTGAGGAGAAGGCGACCGGAGGCGGCTGGCAGGCTGCAGGCGGCGCGCGGGCTGCTGGCGGCCGGGCGGACAGAAGCCCCCAGTCCTCGGCCCCCGCGCAAGCGACGCCGGGAAATGCCTACATCCGGGAAACCTGCGGCGGAGTGCGGCGGCGGCGACACCGAGTGGAAGGCAAAATGGCGGCGGCGGCGGCGGACTGGTGCTGAGGGGAGAGCCAGGTCCCCGCGACCCTCGCGACGGGCCGCGTTGGCCCGGGGCAGCTCCCCGGCGTCTCTCCCCGCCCTGCCCCACCAGGGACACTTGGGGTCCTTGGGACGGGCTCCAGCCGCCTGGGCGACCGCCCTCGGGCCCGTGGCCGCTGTCCAGGAGCCCCGGTCTCCCCTGCAGGTAGGTCTGGGGCTGGCGTAGCGGGTGGGGCTCACTCTCTCCTCCCGAGACCGAGTGAGCGGGGCGGTGGCCGCCGGGGCCCACGCCCAGCCCCGCTGGCGGGGGTCCAGGGGCTGCTGCGGACGGGTGGGCCGGGCCCGGTCGGCCCGGTGCGGGCCTGATTTGGCTGGTTGCATGGACCTGAGCTGAGCCCTGCCCTGGGGAAGCGAGGGTTGGCCGCGCCCGGGGCTGCAGGAAGAGCCGCAGGCACCGCGGCCTTGGAAGTGCGGGTTAGGTTGGGGAGAGCCTGACTTGCTGGAGGCTTTGCGCGGAGTGTCTCCCGCTTCCACCCCTATCCCGAACACGGACGGGTCAGTGTTTAGGAAGGAAGGAAAGTGAAAGGTGGTTCTGAAAGAAAATTGCAGTGAAAGAGCCGCAGTTCTTTGCATCCCAGAGAGAGTCGATCCTGGATTTACCTTGAAGAAAGCGTGGGAATTTCTATTTCCAGTCCACTGTAATGTTAGCTTACGGTTCATAGTTGGAAGGGGTAGGAGGGATGGAAGGGTTTTTATGGAGTAGGACTGTGTACCTAAATAAAATGAAGGAAAGAAAAGGAAAGGAATATTATTTGTTATGACTTCAAAAAGAACTTGGATCTCAAAGAATGACTCTCCGGTGATTTGATTAACCCATTCTCTCACTTCTCCAATTGAAAGTTATTTTCTAAGAGAACAAGGTTTAATGTTGGTCGCCCCATATGTTACTATGACTTAAAAAATATATATCGCTGTGTAGACGTTATTCATAAATCTAGTGAGAAATAAGTAAATAAATACAGTCTCACACACAAATATTGTGTTACTTCACCCAGGATCATGAAGCTTGTCAGGCCTTTATGGATTATTTATTGAAGATTAAAATTCTTTATCAAATTTCCTTCATGAGGAAGAAAAGGTAGGACATTATAATTGGAATGAATGTTCTCTGCTAAGATAGCTACATTTGTGATTTAAGTAAGGTTATTTCTTTCCTTAAAATGTTCATAGGCAGGTAAAATGAGCTAGTTGATTCCCTCAGGCAGTGGAGGAATTTGACTGATTTTTAACAGTAAAAGTAGCGGCATTGTATTCTGATCAGATGATGCTGCAAGAAACTGGATCGTGGCACATGCTGGGGAAGGCGCATTCTTTCTGTGCTTGAATATCTATTGAATATGCCTTGCCACTCTCCAAAGGCAAATTAAAAAAGTACTTCTACAATTTTTTTTTTTTTGGTATGAAAAAATTTAGAAGTGTTTTTTTTTGGTATGGTATCTGTTTTCTCCTATAGGTTGTTTTGTTTTTAATGATAGTCCTTGTTATTCTGTATAAATATAGCCTTGGAATAGATCTAACTCTGAGTATTTAGTTTTCATTCTAGATGTTATATTTAGATTAGTGGCTTTTTTGTAGACCACAAAGTTATTTAGTCATTGAACAACATTTTTATCAAGTGGAAATGGCATTTTTCAGCATAAAATAAAATATAGTGGTAGTTTTCACTTTTGATCAGCTTTGTAGAAAGCGAGTTGAAGAAACTGTCATCAGTAAGCAATAGAGTCTTGAATGTTGCTGTCTAAGCAACTGAGACTATATGCTGCTCAGAAAGAAACAGTACATATTACTACTGTTGCTACTCTCATAACTGACTTAGTCAAAGCACTGAGACAGGCCATCTTTTTTTATAAACCTAATTCAACCAGAGGTAACACTTTGAAATCTTAATATGTAGTGGTACCTGGTTTTTCCCCAAGTTGAACGAGGTATCTACAAAAACTGTTTGGGTTTGCTGACATTTGCATATTTGATGAAGGTCTGAAGTTTCAAAGAAACGGAGGTTTTGTCTGTTCAGTTTAACCAATTTAAATGTTCCTTAAAGGAATGAGTGAGTCATGATCCCTGCCTTTAGGAAACTCAAGATGCAGGTTCTGATGAGAAGAGCACTGGGCCAGTTCAGGATGTGTGGATTCTATTTCTAGTGTGACCTCCAGCTGGCTGTGTGAACTTAGGCCAGTTTATCTCTCTGGATCCATTTCCTCATCTGGAGTGTGTATGGGGGGGGTGGGATATATATATTTAAGATACCCTATTCTCTATGAATTTGTGATCTAGTAGGAAAAATGAGACAACTACAAAAGTAGGGCAAAAGCATAGGTTTTATTTGACCATGCAAAGTGCATTTACAGTTCAGAGAAGGCTAACAAACAGGCAGTTCAATGAAATCTTTGTGAAGACAGCATGTGAATGGCACCTTAAAAGTTGGGTATAATTTCTGTAAGAAAAAAATATGGCAGGGCCTCTCCCAAGAAGAAACAGGATGAGTAAGGACATGAAGGTAGAAAAGCAGAGGTACAAAAGCTGAGAGCAAGTAGGTTGGCTTGGTTAGAGTATAAGGTACACTGGGGAGAGTCCAGTGAGATAGTGAAAAGAGATAAGAAGATAATTGAGTGGGGCATTTATTCTTTTTTTTTTTTTTTAAGATTTTATTTACTTACTTGACAGAGACACACAGTGAGAGAGGGAGCACAAGCAGGGGGAGTGGGAGAGGGAGAAGCAGGCTTCCCACTGAGCAGGGAGCCTGACTTGGGGCTCGATCCCAGGACCCTGGGATCATGACCTGAGCCGAAGGCAGACGCTTAACTGACTGAGCCACCCAGGCACCCCAATGGGCATTTATTCTAAACATTTGACATGCACCATTGACCCTTGAACAACACAGATATGAAGTGTGCGGGTCCACCTGTACTCAGACTTTTTTCATTAAATATATTGGAAAATTTTTTGGAGATTTGCAACAAATTGAAAAAACAGATGAGGGCGCCTGGGTGGCTCAGTTGGTTAAGCGGCTGCCTTCGGCTCAGGTCATGATCCTGGAGTCCTGGGATCGAGTACCGCATGGGGCTCCCTGTCAACAGGGAGTCTGCTTCTCCTTCTGACCCTCCCCTCCTCATGTGCTCTCTCTCTCTCATTCTCTCTCTCAAATAAATAAAATCTTTGAAAAAAAAAATGAAAAAAACAGATGTATAACCTAGAAATACTGAAGAAAAAACTAAGAAAAAAAAGTTTTGTAAGAATATAGAGTATAATACTTAAACAAAGTATATGTTAACTGTGTTTATGTTATCAGTAAGGCTTCTGGTCAACAGTAGGCTATTAATGGTTAAGTTCCGGGGGAGTCAGAAGTTATACTCAGATTTTCAACTGCATAGGGGGCTGGCACCTCTAACCTCCTGTGTTGTTCAAGGGTCAACTGTATTAAACTGTATTTTGAGCATAATGCTCAAAATAACCCGATTAGATAGGACCATTATTGCCCACATTTGAAGATGAAGAAACTGAGGCACAGCTTGCCAAGATTACACAGCCAGTTAGTGGTAGAACTGGGATTTGTACTCTGCAGTTTGACTCCAAAGCTCTCTAACCACTAATTTAAAGGAGTCATTGAGGGTGACATGATCAGAACTATTTATTTGGAAGATTAATCTGGCACCAGTGTAACACGAGTTAGCGTGTTTCAAAGCAAAATAGCTTTTGAAGAATTCTTTTAAAAACTCTCTTTACTTATTATTAATTTGAATTTTCACATTTGCAATTAGCAAAGATTACTGAGATTTTTTTTTTTTAAGATTTTATTTATTTATTTGACAGAGAGAGACACAGTGAGAGAGGGAACACAAGCAGGGGGAGTGGGAGAGGGAGAAGCAGGCTTTCTGCTAAGCAGGGAGCCGGACGTGGGGCTCGATCCCAGGACCCTGGGATCATGACCTGAGCTGAAGGCAGACGCTTGATGACTGAACCACCCAGGCGCCCCAAAGATTACTAAGATTTGTTAATGCCAGTGTTGACCATATCTTGTTGGTGGTTGGAATTATAAATTAGTACACCTTTCTGGAAGGCAATCTGACAATAAGTGTCAGAATTTTATTTCATTTCATTTTATTTTTTGGCATATCTTTTATTTTTTTTTCCCTTTTTCAAGAATTGTATTTTATTTTAAACTCCAGTGTAGTTAATATACAGTGTTATATTTCAGGTATATAATATAGTAATTCAACAATTCCATACATCATCCAGTGCTCATCACCACAAGTGCACTCCTTAATCCCTGTCACCTATTTTACTGATCCCCCCACTCACCTCCCCTCTGGTAACCATCAGTTCTCTATAATTAGAGGTCTGTTTCTCCATCCATGTCCTTGCAAGTGGCAAGATTTCATTCTTTTTTATGGCTGAATAATATTCCAGTGTGTATGTGCGCCCTACGTCTTCTTTATCCATTCATCTATTGATGGATACTTCAGCTGCTCCCAATTTGGCTCTTATAAATAATGCTGCTATAAACATAGGGGTGCACGAATCCCTTTGAATTAGTGTTCTTGTATTTTGGGGGTAAATACCCAGTAGTGCAATTACTGGATCTCAGGGTAGTTCTATTTTTAACTTTTTGAGGGATTTCCATACTGTTTTCCACAGTGGCTGTGCCAGTTTGCATTCCCACCAACAGTGCAAGAGGGTTCCTTATTCTCCACATCCTTACCAACATTTGTTGTTTCTTGTGTTTTTGATTTTAGCGATTCAGATGTCAGGATTTTAAATACAAGCATATCTTGGAGATATTGCAGGTTTAGTTCCAGACCACTGCAATAAAACAAATATTGTAATAAAGCGAGTCAAATGAATTTTTGGTTTCCCAGTGCATATAAAAGTCATGTTTACACCATACTATAGTCTACTTGATAGTGCAATAGCATTACATCTAAAAAGATAATATATATACCTTAATTAAAAAATAAGTTACTGCTAAAAAATGCTAACCATCATCTGAGCTTTTAGCAAGTCATAATCTTTTTGCTGATGGAAGGTCTTGCCTCCATGTTGATGGCTGCTGACTGATCAGGGTGGTGGTTGCTGAAGGTTAGGGTGGCTGTGGCAGTTTCTTAAAATAAGACATCAGTGAAGTTTGCTGTATCGATCGACTCCTCCTTTCATGAACGATTTCTCTGTAGCACACCAAGCTGTTTGATAACATTTTAACCACAGTAGAACTTCTTTCAGTATTGGAGCCAATCCGCTCAAAGCTTGCCACTGCTTTCTCAACTAAGTTAAGAAACTCAGTTAAGTTTATGTAATATTCTAAATCCTTTGTTGTCATTTCAACAATCTTCACAGCATCTTCACCAGCAGTAGATTCCATCTTGAGAAACTACTTTCTTTACTCATCCATAAGGAAGCAACCCCTCGTCTATTAGAGTTTTATCATGAGGTTGTACCACATCTGTAGTTACTTCCTCCACTGAAGTCTTGAACCCCTCAAAATCACCCATGAGGGTTGGAATCAGCTTCTTCCACACTCCTCTTAATGTTGCTGTTTTGACCTCTTCCCATGAATTATGAATGTTCTTAATGGCATCTAGAATGGTGAATCTGGAACCTTCTGGAAATGGAAAACCTTTCTGGAAAAGGTTTGCCCAGATCTATCAGAGGAATCACTGTGTATGGCAACTATAGCCTTATGAAATGTATTTCTTAAATAATGAGACTTGAAAGTTGAAATGACTCCTTGATCCCTGGACTGCAGAATAGATGTTTGTTAGCAGGCATGAAAACAACATAAATCTCATTGTACATCTCCATCAGAGCTCTTGGGTGACCAGGTACATTGTCAATGAACAGTTATATTTTGAAAGGAATCTTTTTTTCTGAGCAGTAGGTCTCAACAATGGGCTTAAAATATTCAGGAAACCATGTTGTAAACAGATGTTCTGTCATCCAGGCATTGTTGTTACATTTATAAAGCACAGGCAGAGTAGGTTTAGCGTAACTGTTAAGGGCCCTAGGATTTTTAGAAAGATAAAGTCACCAGCTGCATTAGCCTCTAACAAGAGAGTCAGCTTGTTCTTGGAAGCCTTGAAGCCA